TTGGGGTCTTGGAGGGCCTTACACAGGTGTCATGGGAAGGACTTTAATCCACGGAAAGCAGAGAGGCCTTTACCACAGTGGAAGAAAAGCTCGGTCTCAGAGAAGGAGAAAGGTGACAGCAACTCAGTTGTAACAGTCTTTAAGTGGTAATATTGTGATCCTGTTTCACAGAAGAAACTGTAGCAGAAAACAATTAATTTGTCCAATTTGTAGGGGTGAGTATAGATAAAGCATCTCTTACAGAACAGTATTTCTTTCTCTCCATGTACATAAGTTTACTGTGTACGTATACCAACATGAACGCATAAATTTGAGGAGTAGAGAAACCTGAAAATTACACAAGATTCACATAAACAAACTTATTTCTAGACCAAAAGCTTTTTCTTTCACATCAAAGGCATTTTTTTAAAGATGGGATTGTGCATTCTCTCCATGCAGAAAAACAGTGAACCACGAGGACTTTTCCCCTGTTAGCTATCACACTTGTAAGAAAATTAGTAAATAAACTGGATAATGAAAATCTGCTTCTTTCTGCTTTGAAGATGTTCGCTTCATCCGATTTACCTTCATCTGATGGAGTAAAGGGAGGTATTATTAGAAATCCCTTCTGTTAGGAAATATTTGAATTCAAAATTAAATCCTGTGCTAAACTTTCCAAGGAAGTATCTACCTTCACTGAAGTCTTTTCAGGCCCCTACTTATTTCTACTTCAAACTTTTCACTGATTGTACTTTAAGCTCCATCAGTGAATGTAAATGGGGTTTCGCTATACGTTTAGTGCATTCAAGCATTCTTTGTTACAGTTCCCACCCTGCTGCATTATGTGAGCTCTGCCACGGAAGTCCAGCAGTCGGTTTGTTTTCTGCTATTAATAAAAGAACCTACTTTTCCCCACTTCTTTGAAGAAGTTGAAAGAGCTACATGTTGGAGGGGGAGGCGGTGGGGAACAGACTGCGGTGTAATCCCCAAACGCAAATGCTGTCTAGATTAGAAACCTCCCTGAAGAAAATTTACACATGCTAAGACTGTGCTTTTTGTGTGATGAACACTAGAGCAATAACTTAGCCACATACTGGGTTCTGCCTAATGCTTAAGGAGCCCACTAGGTGAAAAGAATTGAATGAAGGAAAAAAAAAAAATCTTCCAATTGGCTCTGTGCCGATGCCATCCAACCCTTTCAGTATCCAGTGACTTACTAAGGGAACTATTTTCATTTGTATTTCATCACTGAGGTATCTTAATATAATATGTAGGAATCTGCTAAAGTAAAAACCACCAAATGGGATTTACACATTCTTGGTGTTTCTACATAGTCCAGGAAAAGCTTAATTAAAGGGGTGGGACACCTCTCTACTCAATAGCTGTTTTTGCTTCGTACCTTCCCATGCACAACGCATGTAAACATCTAAGAAAAAGGGTCTGGGGGGATGGTGGTGCAAGAAAACCACCCAAAACCAAAACCAAAAATATGAGCCCTAAACTACAGAGCACAATCTTGATTATTTGCTTTGCCATATAAATAAACAAACATGCTCCTCGCAGAGAATCAGTTGCAACAGCCAACAGGAGAAAAAAAGGAGTATTATCTGCCTTTTTCCCTACAGGATTCTTGTATTGTTAAAGCTATCATTAATGTATCTAGTTTCTCATGCAATTACCGACTAATCCTTAATTCCTAAATAAGCACGGACAAGAGTAAAGATAGTAAACCCAAAAGCCTACCAGATAAACTTCAGTGTATAGTCAACTGGATGATTCCGTGCTAGATCCAATTTATTAGCTTAAAATGTTTATGAGGATGAAATAATTCTGTCAGTGTTGATGTCAGTAATCTTCTGTTCACTTGCTCTCAAGAGCTTCCACAGTCCATCTACCTGTTACTCAGAAGCTGTAAATACAGCTTTAGGTGCAAATTATTATATGTGGATTAATGCACTTCATCTCTTAAGAGCAGCTCTAGTATGGCAGAGGAGTGGAGAAAGATGCAGCAATCAGCAAACTCTGGAGATGCCTCTTTTAAGTATCAAACACAAAATTTTAACAAGGAGATGAATGTCTCGAACAGACACATTGTTTAGACAAAAGTACTTCAAATGAYTGTAACAGGGTAACTCTGTTTTAAGGGAGTGATACAGCCTCAGCTAGCATTTTTATAGGATCCCAGATTTTTTTTCTGTGTGCGTTGCATATATTTTACTGACTAGCCGGCTTGCTATAGAGAGTTGTATGGGGTTTTATTTATCTATCTATCTATCTATCTATCTATCTATCTATCTATCTATCTATCTATCTATCTATCTATTTATTTATTTATTGTTTTTGTGGTGCGCAGTTCCTAGAGAAGATGACTGCATTTCAATGTGAAATTAAGCACCCAGTCAGGAACTGAGCATAATCATCATATGGGCAAATCGGAATGATGGCTACATTTACTGCCTACAGAAATTTCTGCTTCTCTGCATATTAACACAGTGAAAACGTTGTTAGCTGAATGTGAATGTGCCCATTTTCATTACCAATGTAAATGTGTAACATCTTCTGTTAAACTTCATTGACATATTTCAGCAAGTGAATGGAAAAATGCCCCCAAATGTGATAGTTGTAGACTCTTGTTATACAACTTAGAGTAAAATATTCTTTTCTCTAATTCTAACAGTAATTAACTTGGATTGGAATTCCCCTGACTCATGTAACAGTCTACACTGTATTAATGGATCTCAGTGTTTATACGGTTTGAAAAGGAATCCTGTCCTATATACGTAACATTATATTAAGGTGCTAAAGATTTTCAGGTTAATGAAAACTATTGATCACGTCACTCTAGGGCGATCTATAGGCATTCTTTTGTTTAGGTCTAAAATGAAATGGTGTCGTGCTGAAACTTAAAATGCTGTAGAAATGAAGCTTTGGAAAATTGTTACATCTTCCATGAAGGCTAAAAATGAAAATAGACAATTATCATAATAATAATAATCCAGTTGTACAAGGCAGACAAAGGAAAAGCTAATACTTTCCTCCGCTTTTTGACTGATGTTTTGTTGGGCTGTAGCTAAACAGCACTTTAAGTTGACAGTAAATTAGCAAACAATGCGAGGGAGGAAAAAAGAAAGAAAATCACGCAGGGGTTAAGATGTTTATGTAAAACAGTGATTTTCCTTTTTAAAATTAAAACGTACAAATAAGCTGGTGTCAGGGACTAGGTGATCCTTCATTTCCACCGCATTGAGCAGGCTCGCGGCAGCAGCAGACAGCCGTTAATATATGCGTCTGGCTCAGTCTGGTCTCCCAACGAGGAATTCATCGAATTGTTAATATCTTTCCTTTTTTGTATGCACCACACATCATTTTCACTCTCTCTCTCTCTCTCTCTCCCCCCTCCCCTCTCCGGCTCGCTCTCCCTCCCTCTCTCCTTTGCGAGAAGGTTGTGTTTTGGCGTTTTGTTTTTGTTGCAGCACAAGCTGATTACCCCAAAACCGCATCTCAAGTGGCACCTACGAGCACTCTGTCCCCAAACAGGCAGCCCCGCAGAGGCGCCGGTGCGCGCGGCCCGCTGCCCGGCAGCGCCCGGAGCTGGGAGTGCCTCCTGCTTAGCTGCGTGGAGGCCTCGCGCGCGGCCCACGCCTGCCCCACACCTCCCGGCGCCTGCCCCACACCTCCCGACACCTGCCCCGCACCTCCCGGCGCCCGCCCGGCAGCCACAGCGTCCTGCTGGGAGCCCCGCGGAGCGGAGCTGCCCCCGTGCCCATGGAGAGGAGCTCCCTGAGCGCCAGGGCAGGCCGGCTGTGCCGTGCGGGCACTGCACAGGGCGGGCGGGAAGACTGCGGGGCCGCTCGCTCCTTCATCGCTCCTTCATTGCCATGGCCGGGGCCGCAGGGAGCAGGGCCCATGGGCCAGGGGGAAGCRCTGCCCATGGGCCAGGCCGAGCGGCGCTGCCGAGGCCTCGCTGAATATTCATGGCTTTCGCTGCGGCACCCAAAGAAGCCAGGTAGGGATTTTTAGCGATTCGCTCTATTCTCACTCTCCCTGCGGGGCAGAAATCCTTGAAATCATTAGGCTGCTGTTTCCTGACGGGGACACGCGCTCCACGCTGCGCCTTCACCCTCTTTGTGTGCACGGCGGGGAAAGCGACAYGACTCCGGGGCCCCCTGCACATCCACAGCCAAGGAAATGCAAGGAAAAGCATCCGCAATAAACGCCATGTAGATRTTTAAGCGTACGGATGGATGTACACACTGCGAATCTGATTTAATCTATCGGGATTTTTTGGAGAGGAGATAAATTCTATGCATGATTTAAAATGTATATCCCCATGAATACACCTACACACCGTATAGCTTTATCTCACTGTATAGGCTGAATGAACAGAATACATGTTCACCTGCTCAGTACCTTAAACACACTGTTTTAAGTAACGAACACTATTACACATAACTCAGTCGTTACCAATGATTTGCTCCATSAGTGTGAACACCTGCTTGGGTACATCAGTTCTGCGTATTTTGCATAGATTCAGACCTGCATTGCCAACACCACCTAAACAGAAATCAGGGTGAGATAACATATCTGCGCTAAAAGACAATTACTTCTACGTCCAAACGTTTGCAAATAGCTCTTTTGAGGGTTCCGAGCATGAGGGATTGGTGGTTTGAGAAGAAAAGAATTGCATCTTTACCAGGAACTGTATCATCATTGTAATTGTCAGAAAATATTCTCATGATGGTTTAAAGATTAAGGATGAAAAGATTAAAGATGGTATCTTGAGCAACTCAAAAACTACAGACAAGTACATAGTTCCTGCCTCTTAAGAAAACAAGACAACAAGAAAATGCATTCTGCTACAGATAAGAAMCATTTATTTTAACAATAGTCTTGATGCTTACAATAAAACACAATTCCTCCCACACAAGTGGAAAAAATATACTGCAGCCAAAATACCACTCGAGAAATGAACAAATAGTTTGGATGCTTGATCTGTGTGAAGCCTTTGTCTCAGCGAAGCCTGAGGTAGCAACAAGGTCCCGCAACACCAGGACCCGGAGAGAGCCACATCATGCCGAGCCCACAGACAAAATACTGAGAAATACAAACCAGTTTCTCTGGTGCCGATTGGAAGTTCAACCTTAATGAACAGTGCAGAGAAACTTGTGTCCTGTTAGATGTTTTTCTGCCAAGTCACCAAAGTCCTTAACACATGGGCGACAACCTACAGGTCGCTCCATTTTTGCCAGCGGGAGAAAAGCCGCAGAAAGTGCCGARGAGGCTGGAAGTTGAGGTCGGTTCTGAGGGTGCTGCGGGCTCTGGTCAGATGAATCCCGGCCAGGAATGTGGGCAGCTTTGCGTGTAAAGTGATTTTAAGGCTCTAGCATGGTTTTCACCCTGACTTTCCCCACTGCTTTAGAACGGAAATTAAACAAGAAAAAATTTTCAATGTCGGAGCATGTTCTCACTTAGACAAAGAAAAATGATGGCAACTACTTATAAAATACTCTCTGTCCCATACTGCCRGAGAAGCTAAGCAACAGTTCTCCTGCAGGCTGAAATCATCATTCAAACAATAACGGAATGAATGTTTTCCGGGCCTCAAACATCGATGTTTATGTTCTACGTTGTAGAAGTTAATTAAATGCTGTAACAACATATCTGAAAATATGCTTTGTACTAATCGTCTACAGAATGGTCTGTAATAACAGTATTATGGTTGACAGCCTTTTGTACATTTTAGGATACGCTGTATTTTAGTGCTTTTTTTTTTCTTTTTGAGGTACAAATTGGCATTAGATTTAAATTTTAATTCCAAATGTTACACGGCATCCAGTCCAGTTTTCAACACAGACAAATATGTAGCATCTTAACGTAGCACAATGGTAACAGCTCCTTCTCCTTTAGGAACGGTTGCGCTGCTCCGCACGTGAAACAGGTTTATCCTTCTCCTCCCTTCCTRGATGGGAAAGCTCCTTGATTCTCTGAATTCGGCAGCGAGAGAATCAGAGTCCAAAGCTGCTGGTTCCCCTCCGCCTAGGTCCCAAGAGCCTGACTTGTGATTGCTGCTAAAAAACCTCACAAGTTAGGGTCTCAGGGACTAGGAAAAGTCCGATACGATCCAGTAGAATTCGTCTTCCAATAATCCCAACCGCTTAGGAGGCAGGATCGCTGGCAGGACGACTCTCACTGCTGTGGATAAAGAAGCAAAACGAAACAAACAAGCACAAAAGCCGCCCCAAGACCCGAGGAGCCCTCCTTGCCCATCCCCTCCCTCGGATAAACACGCCACGGTTTCAAGTAGGGGGCAGGAAAGATCAAATAAGCAGGCAATACATATACGTACATTCGGGACAAGGTATCAGCTGACTGAACAGGGTTGTCTTAAGAGCATATTCCTCAACTTTTGGAAAGAGAAGCAACATAGAGCACRGGAAGAATCTTCGCTGCCTCCACTCCCTAGAAGCCACGTCTCGATACAGCGGAAGGAAGGGTCTGTAAATGGGTTAAAATCAGCTTCCAGCAGATTGGTACAGTGAGAGTTTTATTCTATTCCCCCTAATGCCTTAGAGAAGGATTAAATGCTTGTTAAGGGGTTTCTAATTGAAATATCTCCCCGTTATGCTTTTACTGTTCAGGTGGGCCCTGGGTCACACAGTGCTTTCAACCTGTTCCCGACGCGAGGACAACCTTGGGGCGTGCATTTACTTTTTGCCTCTTCCCCTGTTCAACATTTAATCCTTCTACGGACGCTTAGCAAAGGCTTCTTCCTCTCCAGCGCCGGAGCAGCTTTCGCCCYGCGAGCTGCCGCACACATTGACATGCAGAGGTGGCTGTCACTGGAGCCAGGCTGCTCGGGGCTCACACAACTTTCGCACCCTGGACGAGGCAGCGATCGGGTCTCCCAAAGCACCTTGGGCTGAAGCCGAACACTCGGGGTGGCACAACCACAATCCTGCGACACTTTCCCATTCCTTCTCCTCCCATCCTTAGGCTTGTTTGCAGCGCGAAAAAGAAAATGTCTACTTTAGGGATGGGATCCATGGTGGCTTTTTTTTTTCTTTTTTTCTTTCTTTCTTTTTTTTTTTCCTGTCTGTCCATCAGAACGTCAGAACCCAGAGCAAAAGCAACAGCAGCCATAGAGGTCCCGGCCACTGCTGGAGCGGAGGAATCGGGTATAGAAAACGCAGCGCTCGTCGGGAAGCCATCCAGCTTTAAAAAAAAAAAAAAAAAAAGAAAAAAAAAAGGGGGAAAAAAAAAAAAAGGAAAAGAGGGGGGGAAGAATTAGAATCAGTGCTGGCAGCGCAGGTGATTCATCCATTTACAAAAAAAAAAAAAGGAAAAGAGGGGGGGAAGAATTAGAATCAGTGCTGGCAGCGCAGGTGATTCATCCATTTACAAGTTAGCTGCAGAGAGCTGCACCGGAGAAAAGCCCTGCCCGCGCCCCCCGCGCGCAGCCCTCCCCGTGCCCTCCCCTCGCGACGCCACCTCGCATTTCAGCACACTCTGGGTTATTTAAAATATTCCAGCTGAGGCGACAATGCACCGTTATATAAGAGCCGCTCCTTTGTCGCTGCGCGCCGCTCCATCAGTTACGCCTCGGACACAGAACAGTTAAAGGAAACAATATATATATATATGTATATATGAGAGAGAGGTAGGTAGGTTTGTAGATATAGAATGTATAGCAGTCCCTGCATTTCATCCCATCTCTTTCCCAAAGCTGGCCGTGCCTTCACAAACCATCTCGAAACCGCAGCTTGCAGATCGATAATTAGAAGGAAAACCCTCTGCGCTCTGCAGACAGGACATTGCCGAGGTGCCCCCTTCCCTTCCCTTCCCTTCCCTT